ATATATATATATAATAGTATAGATACGAATATTATATTGTGCGTATTTTTAAGAAATGTATATGAACCTGGTGGATCCCATGATACTATAACATCAAACTTCTGGGTGAGACGTTCTTCCAACGCTATCCGAATTCTTTCGTAATTCTTTTTACCAGGAATGAAGCTTTCATTTGTTAGATCGATTCTCACTACTTTTGATGTACATTGAAAAAAGAAACATAAATTTATATAAACATTTATATAAAAAGATATAGGAAAGTGGGACAATCGTGCGTATCGAATAATTGTGCACATTTTAGTTTAGCACTTTTCCGATAAATAGAGCAGCTCGCGACGAAATTTTTAGACTGAACGAAATTCTTTTCAGATATAATCATAAATTATACAATTTGAAAATGTAGTTAAGAGCAAAAATGAGAAAAAATCAAATTACATATTCTGATAGTAATTTTGATATCCAGAAAATAAGATGGTAAATCCATATTCTCTCTTTTGTTTGTTTAATCATATACATATATATATATATTGATGTACAACTTTACTTCCGCCGTTTTTTTCTGAAATTCGAGGCTTTATTGCAAAAAACTGGTTATACATTTATGATTCAAAGTATTGTTCATCGCTGGCCACTACTTTCTCCCTTCTTTCGGGTAGCATACGAATCCCGCGTCGAAAAAACTGGTCATCTTTTGAGGCTATCCACGAATCGATCCAATTTTTACTTCTTCATAAGACCGGAAGTGCTGGTCAGCCAGGCCGTGTGCCATTGATCGAAACAAGTGATAATCAGAGGGAGCAACGTCTGAAGAATACGGCGGGTGGGGTAGGACTTCCCATTTCAACGTTCCAAGTAGGTCTTGACCACTTTCGCAACATGGGCATTGTCATGCAAAATCATTTTATCGTGTTTCTCGTTGTATTGCGGCCGTTTGTCTTTCAATGCTCGGCTCAAACGCATCAATTGCGTTCGATACCGATCGCCTGTGATTGTTTCAGTCGGTTTTAACAGTTCATAATACACTACG